ATTGTGTATTATCCAGGTTCAGTTTCGTACATATCTATGCAAACATAAAGACCACAAATTAACCATCTTGGGACAGTGTGAAGATAATTCTTGTCATATTAGTCAAATAAGACAAAATAAGAAAGAGAGGAAAAATAGGAGTGAGGGACTAGGAATAAACCTAAGATGGGATCTGACATTCATGAAACATCATAGTGTCGTTTTAGTTTTGACTATTCTCGACAACAGGTCTCTCATCTTGGAAATTACTACTATTCGTGACCTGTGTGTAAATTTTACAGCATGTGGAGTTTTGACAAATAAGGGTTCACCATTTTGCATCTAGCATGTTGCAGAGATACCCTACGAGAACCAATACGTGGCAAACAATCGTGGGGTTGATCATGGGACAGTTGCATATCTTGAAAAAATCAAGTTCCTGGAAGACAATTTGCTGGCAGCTCATACTGTTTGGGTAAACCCAGGCGAGGTAATAAGTGTGGACAGTTTCATTTGCTCTTCTTGAAAATAAGTTGGTCATCCTTCACTGTCTTGTCAGTATAAGGTCATTTACTACTTTTATTGAAGGGTGATCTGCAGTCAAAATTTCCCTCTCCAGCTTTCTCTTGTTGGTATGGGTAGGCCCTTGACTATAGCAGGGTTTGTGAGGATGCTTCATAACTTCAGGTGGTTGGGGCAATATAGATAGGATTAAATGTTTTTTCAGTATTTCCTTTTTGTCTTCTTTCTTTTTTCTCTCCTTCTATGACACAGGGATGCAAATACTCGGTTTTCCTGAAATGACCATTTGAGACATTGTATGCTTCCTATTCCTATGGTTGGCACGTGTGTTTGTTTTGATGTTCATTATTATTTGCTCTTACGAATGGTTTTTGACATTGTTGTTGGCTTCTTTCATCAAGACATATTATGGCTGTCCACTACTTCAATTATCATATTGTAATGATTGTGAGCCTCTAGATCTACAAACATTTGCATTCCTTCTTAATTAATCTTGTAGGGTAGGTAATTTCCATTTTTTTTTTCAGATTTCTTCCCTATCAAAGGCCAGTGTTAAAGTGTCACATTGTCCTGCTGCTGCAATGCGCATGCTTGGATTTGCACCCATAAGGGAAATGCTTGATGCTGGAGTATGTGTGTCCTTGGGAACAGATGGTGCACCATCAAATAACAGGATGAGTATTGGTAATTTCTGCATTATCAACAGAATTATGCTACTATTATATCATTTAAAGAGAGTTTATGCTACTCTCTTCTTTTCTTTTTCTTTGTTTTTTTCCTCCTCCTCTAATCATTTTGATTATAGCAAATTTCTTTTGTCAAACAACAACTTCCTTCTTGTTAGATTACTATGAGTATCTCTAACTCAGATTTTTATCACTGCTTACAAAATTTCTACTAGGTGCTATTATGAATTGAAACTTGAATGTCCTTTAAATTCTCAAGTTAGAGATAGAAAGGAAAGACATGAGAGTGAATTTCATTGAACAACTGATAACATACAAAGTGAAAAGTTTCCTGTCCTTCTGCTGATGCACCAAATTAAGGTTTACAAAACAAAGAAGTATTGCTGGAAATGCAAGAGAAACGAATACTCTTTTGTTGTGCATGTTAGTGAGTAATGACTGGCTTGCTGACAAAGCAATAATAAACGTGTGCCATAATTACTCATCTTTTTTCAGGGTCAGCATAACTGAACTCATATTCTATGTATAACATCACCCTTTACTGGAGTGCAGTTGATGAGATGTACCTAGCTTCTCTAATCAACAAAGGACGAGAAGTCTTTTATAAAGGAACTACTGATCCTACTGCTCTTCCTGCTGAAATAATTCTCAGAATGGTGACAAGCAATGGCGCAAAATCAATTCTCTGGCACAAAGAAATTGGGTCACTTGAGGTTGGAAAGAAGGTTTGATCTCGTCTTACTAATGGGCATATATGTGATCAGTGGATTAGAAGCTCACATCCTTTTCTCAGATAACGTTGCACGGCAACAAGTTATTTCTTTATACTCATTTTTAGTTTTAAGTTATAACATGTGATTTGACAAGGGAATATCAGTGTAATTTGGTTTCTTTCTAGTATACTGGAAATAAATGCAGAAAGAACTGTTGCTATGCTATCACTTCCTGCATACAATGTTATTAGAAAACTTCAATATTTTGTAATATTATTGAGATGTAGCTTGAAATAAGCTATATTTGGTGGTACTGATCACCTGTTATTAGTCACTGCTTTTCTCTTCCCTTCATTTTTGTTGATCTTCTCTCTACTTTTAATTTTCAATCATTCTTGTTTTTTTCCCATTACTTGGCAGGCTGACATGATTGTGATCAATCCTTCCTCTTGGTCCATGGTACCTCTTCATGACTGGTATGTACCATTGTAGTACGCCTTAGATAATATAGTCAATTTTTTTATAATGTAGATTCTAGTAAATCTTCCTGCTGTCATGCATTACAGAAGTATGTTTTATAGTGTAAGAAACCTTTGTGAACAAAATATCTTTGTCAGTTTTTAATTCTAGCAAAATTGCCTTTGGCTGCCTGAAATGTTTGGTTGCTAGATCAAAATGACCTTGTTAATTTTACGTAGAGATGTTTCACTCAATTGTAAATATTAAGAAGAGTTGCCCATCTTATCAATTGAGCTTTGACGATCATGCTGATCTGAGGTATCAGGAGCCTGGAGTTGTTTATTAAATTTGTTTACCAACGTTTGTCTCAGCATTGCCGCAGAGAGTAGAGAATGAGGTTAAATGAATATAGTGATGTGGCTAAAGTTGTTCTTGCAAAGAGGGGAAAGGGGACTTGAGGAAAGGAAATAGCACACTTTTGCAATATGGATGCATTTTCAATGGGCACTTGGTAGTCCTGGTTACTGGGATGAATAAATATTTATCAGGAAAGCGAGTCTTTTTACCTTCCTCAGATTTCCCTGCGGAACCATGCTGAAATAGTTTTGTATTATTAACCTTTTTCTTTCTTTGTACCAGCACATTAATGAAATGACGCAAGTTGGTCTCTTTTCAATCCTATGCAGCATTTCCAGCCTTGTATATTGCATGCGATCTGAGAATATCCAGTCCGTTATGTGCAATGGAGAGTGGATCATGAAGGATCGCAAAATACTTAAGGTGGATGAGGTATTTGACAAAGCGCTGCTCCTTCATTTTCCTTTGTGATTGTTTGGCTGTTTAAAGCTTATCATGTTTGGTTAAATGGTATGCTGAACATTGAGAATTCTACCTGGATAAAACATAGCCTTGAAGTGGAATTTAATTTCTTTAATGTGCAGAGTGACGTCATTTCAATGGCCAAGCATGCTTCTGTTGAGCTAATGAAGAGGGCAGGCATCACCGTACCAAGTAGAATGACCATCTTGTAACTGCCCTTGCCCCTGAATGTTTCTGTAGAGTCAGCTGCAAGAGATGCCCGCTTGACGGTCTCTTGAAATCTGCAAGGGGCATGAAAGAAAAAGAGATGCGGACTCTGGATCCTTGAGAGAGAGTTACTGATTTACTGGGTTAACCGTCTCCGCCAAATTATAAGTTTGTTAAAATAACTCGTACTCCAGAGAACGAGGAAGCTATCAGTCATTTTATCTCTAATAATTGGGGTTTAAGAAAAAGAAGCAGCTCAACTTGCTAATAATTGATAATTCAACCCAATCACAAGCTTTTATCACTACCTTAGTTAATAGTACTTAATAGTGGCCAAATTAAAGATACAAAGAATTATTAACAACATCTCAGAAATCCAATCCTTGGGTGCTCGAGTAATCATGGCACCCTTGGATTAACTTTGAAACTTTCCCCTTGTAAAAATTGATGTCTCATTTTAATGGAGAAAAGTAAAAAAAAAATACTAGGATCAAAAGTCAACTTGACTAACGGGGATCGCTTTTGTATGAGAATTTAATTGACATTACCGTTTGAAATGAATTATTCATTCTAAATCCAAAGAAGTGAAGTCAACTTATAAAATAACTTTTGAAAATTTCATAGGTTTTTAAAAACATCTAAATGATACTTAACCTATCATGTAAATGCAAGCACTAATAATTGTTATCCTCCCGCGCATTATATATTCTCCCCAATTAACTTTACTTTTTTTTTTATACATAAAAAAAAAAAAAACAAACCTGAACTACATGAACGTTCAATAAACACCTTTTAGATAGATCCAATTTCGTATTACTAATAAAAACGTAAAGTTGTGAATGACGTGAAAAAAAATGAAAACTTATTGATTAGTAAAATCCAATCTAGCTTAAAAAGTAGCTAGTAAAAAAATATCGAATCATTGGTAATGAGGTAAAAAGTGCAAGTTATTAGTTGACTTCCAATAACATATAGAAGTAAAATGGAAAAATATGCGTAGTAATTTAAGAAAACACAGTGCTATTACGACTAGCTATTCAGTTAATCATTTCCAAATGGAAATCACTGGTAAATTCATAAAACTAACTGCTATTAACCTGCAATCTAACCTCCTAGTAGGCTTGTTAAACTTGAAGGCCATTGAGCGTTTCAGGACTTAAAACCGAAATATGTAAAATTGACAGAGCTTAAAGAGAAGCTGATCTGAAACTTGAAGGACCTCCGCGTAGGTAAAATATCAAATATGATGCAATAGCGCACGTGCAGTGCAGGTGCAGCCACCACATTTATCAGAAATTGAGAAAACTCCACATTGATCTAGAAATTACCAGAGGCACAAACGAGGGGGAGTATCTCTGAATGAAACTTCTGGAATTTCAAATCTTCTCCTATTCCCTCTCCTCCCAGGCCCCCGCATCCTCCTCCAATTCCTACCTATGGTGACTTGTAGCAGTATAAAATAAACCCACAGCTGCCCCAATCCATGATATTACAGATAAAAATCTCCAAGTATAGTACTTATCTTTTTTTTTTAATCTCAGAAAAAAACCACACGTCTTCAACTTTCGGCAGCAATTTTTTTTTTCTTTTGGGAATTTTGAAAAGCTATCAAACAATGGATTTTCCCTTTCATAGAAGCCAATGGGCAAAACCCTCTGCCAGCAATTTCTACGAACCCACCATAGCCAGAGGGATCCCAGTCCGCCCTGAGGAGGTGAAAACGGCAACCAGGATGACCCCTAAGGTGGTTCAGATACCAGTCCACTTTGTCAGGTCAGAATCCGCCCCGGACCGCTTCAAGCCAGCATCAATAATTCAGAAGATCTTCAGGGGGTTTCTGACGAGAAAAAATGTGAGGAAGATTATGGCAATTAAGAAAGAAGTGGATGAGATTGAAGCCAGGATTTGGTGGAGCGACGAGGTGGCGTTCAGGAAGAAGGATGGAAAGGAGAGGCTGAAGGTGAACGAGATGTTAATGGCGCTACTTTTCGTGTTGGATTCAGTTCTCTCCGTGGATTCCGGGGTCAGGAATCTTAGGAAGGCCGTGATTAGGAAGGTTTTTGCCCTGCAAGAAAGAGTGGATGCCGTTGCTGCTACTGCTGCATCAGCTGATATCGATCGAATTCAACCTGAACCCGATACCTTAGCTGAGGAGGAGAAGGATCATCAAGCACGAGATCAGGTCCTCGTGATTCAACATGTAGCTGCTGCAGGTGCAAATTCTAGCAATTCTGAGGGTCGACCTCCTGAGATTCAAGATTTAGCTGATGGTGCTGTAGGAAATTCGGTTCAAAAAGTTCATTTTTCTGTGGTTCAAGTTCCTCAAAGTTCTGATGTTGTTGATTTTGAGAACAATGGATCTGCTCAAGGCGTTGACAGAGGAGATGACGATAGAGCTGATTCAGAGATGAAGGCCAAGGACTGTGTCGAGGATGCGGAGGAGTTTGGAATTGATCCGAAAATGAAGGTGGACGGGGAGGCCTGTCTTGACGAAGTCACGCTTCTTGACATTTTGTTGAAAACAAGGCTAGCTCAGAGGCGCGAGTTGTCGAATCACTGACGGAGGACAAGGAGGCCCAAGTTTTTGATTCAGTGATGGAGAATGATGGGGAAGTCGAAGACATGCGTGAAAAGACTCCTGCTTTCAGTGAATGTGTGGAGAAAAGCGTGGAGGCGAGTCAAATGGAGGTTGGCATTGGAGGAGAAGAGGATAATGGAGGAGGAAATTCCAGAGTAGATGATAATAAGAGGAACAGGGGATTGCTAGAGAGGATGATGGAGGAGAATGAGAAAATGATGAGTTGGTGTGGGTGCTCCTTACTGTTTAAGTACCAGAAGATTATCAGAAGAAATGCGGGTTCAATCAATAACAAGATGGCATTGGTTGATGAAGAGTTCCAAAGTGGTTCCGAAGCCAGACGACGAAATCAAGAAGATTGGCAACTTTAACTAACTATAGCCTCTGCTTGATAGCAAGGTCAACTTGATGATGATGATGCTGCTCCTTGCCCTTGGTCGAAGGAGCTTTTTCAATTTCTGCAAGTCATCTGAAGCAGCAAATGCTTCTTCTGTGTGGGAGTTAAATTAAAAATGCATGGCGACGTAGTTCGCCACAATGGATAAGATTCGCGCATTTACATCTCAGTGGTCATGCAGCACTCCCTTTTGCAATTCAAAACAAACACGCATGCGTATAGCAAATTAAACATTTTTTTTTTCTTTTGTATTTTTGACAAAATGTGTATAGCAAATTGTTAGAAACACCTACCATAAATGATTATTGTTCTGCTAATAAATTAATAATCTTCGTCCGAATTCAAAGATGATGCTGATGTTTTACACTGAGGAGGAAGATCATCAAAACATATATCATCAGTAACAGTAGTCTCATCAGCCTACAGCCCTACACTACACTTGCTGATTTGGTATTCAACTTCAACTCATTTTCACTGCATCATATTAATACTTCAACTCTTAATCTTATTATGGCTGTGTATTTCTCTGTTGTTGAAATATTTTGCATTGCACTTGCTTTTACTGTGGTACAACAACCTAGACACGTTTAGGTTATCGTTTTATTGGTCAAATCACTCGCCTGTTCTTTGTTCTTCAATAGTGAGGAAAATAATTTGCTTTGTTTGGAAAGCAGCAAAAAAAATCGCTACGTTTTTACGATAATATATTTTTTAATTATTTTTTTACCTCACATATATTAAATCGTTACAGTAATTTTTCTAAAAAAAAAAAAAAAAAATCTAGAATCCAAACAAAGCTATATAATATAGTATCCAATTAGTAAGAAAGAATCTTACCTCCAAAAAAAAAAAAGATTCGTTGGAATGATTTATTTACCGGAGTCATGCAAACAAAGAGAAAAAAAAAAAAGAGAAAAAGAAAGAAAGAAAAATTGTGTGTCTGATCGGTCGCAGAGTACATTATTGTTGTTGATGAAAATTTTTTATCCTTTAATTGAGGAAAATTGAACGTGTTTTGGTGGCAATAATAAATTTTAAAAAAAATGTTCATACACAACAGCAATTAAAAATCTGTTTTCCTTTATTTTGAAAACAAACAATTAAAAGCAGAGGCTGATTAGTTGATTTAGCTGTTCTGACCACCCAAACCCTTGCCCCTCACCCTTTTCTTCCCCATTCACCATTCTTTCTCATTTCTCTCTCTCTCTCTAAGCCAGCGAACTGTCTCTCTCTCAAAATCGTAGCTCTCTGCGAACTGTTCAACTGTTTGTCTCTCTAATCGCCATTCACTCTAAGCTCTCTCTCCCTCTCTCTCACACACACGCACTCCCTCTCTCCCTCCCCCCCCTCTCTCTCTCTATATCTTTCTGGTTTTTCCCCAGCGATTCACTTCTATCTCTTTCAATCTCTTCTTAATCTCTCTTATTTAGCTATCTGCATCCGGTGCTCGCTGAGCGCTTTTGATTCTTTTGGCTGAGCTTGTGATTTCGATCTTGTCATTGAAGTTGGGTGACTCATTTACCGTTCCATGGCTGAAAGCAAGCTCGATCTCCCTGACGATCTCCTCTCATCCAAGCCGTCCGATCAGTCTTGGACTCCAAAAGGTACTCTTCTTCTTTTTAACTCAATGTTGTTTAATTCTGTACGCCTTCGATCATTAATCCTTTCGGATATGCCTAATTTGCGGTTCGCGTTAAGTTAGGGTTTATTGATCTGACTTCTTCTTTTATCCTTTAATTTGACTTTAACTGTAATTCTTAGGGTTTCAGATCAGTGCGTTTGGTTGAGAGTACTATTAATCAATATTTTTGAGGTCATTGCTCGTGTTGATTTTTCTTGGTCTAAGTATTAGTGAAGTCAGGGGAAGGAACGAGAGATCTCTTCTAACTCTTTGAATTCCTATGTTGTTCCCTTTGGAACCTTGTGTTTATTATTGTACAGGTAGACCCTTCGATTAGAAACTCTATTTTTTTGTCTGAAATATCCTGTCCTCTTTGTATTAGCCTACAGCAACGTATTTTTGTTAAATGCAGAGTTCTGTTGTTATTCTAATTCGTAAAGACGTTAGCATTTGTCTTTATATTTTAACTCTTCATTCTCCATTTATGATAGACTTGGATTGTATTTTCGGAAAAAGAGACTCAACTTTCAGTTTTCTTTTCTCCTCCTTTCTTTAAGAAATTGAATTGGTGCTTTGTCAGTTTCTCTCAGGGATTCTGTGTGTTCTGTTTGATCAGAGCTGGTGATTTTTTCGAGCCTAAAATTCATGTTGCTTGATCTTTCGACATTTGACCTAGGATGTCAAACTTTTGATTTGGACATATGCGTGGTGTAAAGAGACATTGTTATGAATTGAATAGAAATGAATATTGATATAGCGAATTAATATTGTCGTCTTCTGCAGGAAATGACGAGGAAAAAGTGATGATGGGATCGCTCGATGAGTCAAAGGGTAATATACTTGTTTTTTATTTAGATTTCTGCGTGGCTTACTTGCTCTTTAGATGCTAGTCATTCCTCTCCGAATTCCCATTGGAGAACCTTAATTAGATTGGTCAGTATCTTTCCTGTATTGTCACTGCATGGTAGTGTAGTCTTTCTGACTGGACTTTGTAACAGATCAAGCCCCTTCGGAAAGCATTCCCCTGTCTCCGCAATGGCTTTATGCTAAACCGAGTGAGGCTAAAATGGTAAGTTTCTGTTTTTTTTTTAAGGGAAGTTTACATTTGTTTCTCCTGTGAACTGTACTAAAAGATCCTTAACTGCATCTGTTCGTATATTTACTTTCCGTCAGTCTAAAAACAAAACCTGTTAATTTGGTGCTGTAATCAGCTTTTAATGTGAATAAGTGCTTAATTACAACTTTGATGAAGCAACTTTGCAGTTATGTTGTCAAAGCTGGTTTTCATCTATTATTTGATTATTGATCCAAGTTGAAATTCTGGTTTCTACATACTGAATCCTTTTTTTTTTTTTTTTATTTGTGGGAACTCATCAAGAACCTGTACAATTTGTTTTGTTTGAATGCATTCTTGGATATTTGGCATTTACCGTGCCACGTATCATTTTTGGCTTTGTACATCTGTTTACCAGGTCATTCCCTTCTCTGGGCATCTAAAAATTGGTGATATCTTTTTTGGCTTTGTACATACTTGCATTTTTGGCTGAAAATTATGGAATGAACCTGACCATACTTGCAAAATTGATTTTCTGCTACATGGCATGATCATTGAAAATTGCTGAAAATCTTGCCATACTGCTTTGAGGGATCTATGGGGACTCTTTTTCTCGCATATGTGATGCTTCTACTTATTTTGAATGACATGCTATTGTATGCTTTCTCTCATGCTTGTGTTTATGGACAGATTACATTCTTTTTGGGATGTTAACAGCTATTGAATTTTGTTTGTAACAGTTCAAGGAAAATGATCCTGAATAGAATTTTATTTTTTGAATATGGTCTTAGTTTTGTTTTTGACATTTGTTTTAGAAATATTTTTAGATTTTCTGATCATCACTGTTCATCCTTATCTGTTTTCAAGTGATAGTTGAGGTCTTGCTTAAATATGTTTTTAAGTTTATAATTTTGTGGATCCTCTGGAAACCCTGAGAAACTAGATTCAAGTCCCGCACATGTTGCGAGTTTCTTCTTCCTGGATTCATCCGTTTAAGTATTATGCATTTCTGTTTATAAATTCTCATGCACATAACAGGAAGCTCGTGGACCTAGTTCTCTGTCTCTTGGAAGTTCTGCTGATTCAAATCAGAAGGAGGGTTGGCGTGCAGATGCAGCTGAAGAAAGAAAAGATTGGAGAAGAATTACTACAGAGACTGAGAGTGGTCGGCGTTGGCGTGAAGAAGAAAGGGAAACTGGCTTGCTTGGCAGAAGAGACCGTAGAAAGACGGATCGTCGAGCTGACAATGCTTCCGGAAGAGAAACAACTGAAAATAGAACTTTGCCTGCAACTGACAGATGGCATGATGCTAGTAATCGCAATGCTGGGCATGAGCCAAGACGTGATAACAAGTGGTCTAACAGGTGGGGTCCTGATGACAAAGAAAAAGAGGCTCGACCAGAAAAAAAGGCAGATGTGGATAGGGAAGATGCCCACAATGAGAATCAGTCCTCTGTGGTTAGTCGTTCTGTTTCAGAACGTGACACGGATTCTCGTGATAAGTGGAGGCCACGGCATAGAATGGAAGGAAATCCTGGTGGGCCAGGCTCTTATCGTGCTGCCCCCGGATTTGGACTAGAGAAAGGGCGAGCAGAGGGTTCAAATGTGGGGTTCACCCTGGGACGTGGACGAGGTAGTGCAGCAGTTGGAAGACCAACATCTACTGAAAGTGTCCCTGGGAAACCATACCCCTTAACTGGTGCATTTTTATATCCAAGGGGGAAGCTCCTTGATATTTACCGTAGGCAAAAGTTAGGTTCATCCTTTTGTAACATGCCTGACCAGATGGAGGAAGTACCCTCAATTACACAAGTGAATTGCGCTGAACCTTTAGCTTTTGTGGTTCCTGGTTTAGATGAGGAGGTAATCTGTTGAATTGAGGAAGTAAATATTTTCTTTTATTTTGATTA